TATAAACTGACATACTTTTGTCTTCCTAAGGTTACAGGCAGCGTCTCCGTGACTGTTGCTCAGGACTTTGCCAAGTTGCAGCAGGGTGAGAACTGGCCAACGCCTTGTCAGCTTTCACTGCTGCTATTCATCACCTTGCGGGTCCCTGCGAAAGCTGGCAGCAGTCATGTCGCTTCCCTTGTGCTGTGAGAAAGACCTGACCAGTGGACCAGCAGCCCACCTCCAATCCCAGCCAACACGCCACAGGGGCTTACTTCAGTTGAATTCTCCCCAAGTTGAAGCAGTGGGTCTTTAAAAGCAACGCTTCAATTTAGGGCTAAGTAAACCCCCATGGTGTGTACGCAAGGGTCAGGCCTGATCCTTACCTGCCTGTCCGGTGGCTGGGAGGGGATGGCAAGCTGCCGGCATGCCAAGCGGTCCCTGAGCTGCAAGGGGGAGGGCTGGTGCTTCCCTCCGTGGCGGTGCCCCCCAAGCGGCACCCGCCCGCAAGCGCCCGGCCTGAGCAGTCCCGGAGGGCACCACAGCTGTGGAGGGAAGCACCAGGCCCCCGTGCAGCTCAGGCAGGCAGGCTCCAGGGAGAGAAAAAGCAAAACGACTGGGCTTGACACTTTTTTTCTCCCCCCTTCAGTGGAGTTTGCCTGCATAAGCTGCCACTGGGCTGCCTGCACAGCCCCCGAGCTGCACGGGACCCGGTGCTTCCCTCCACGGCAAACTAAACCACCTCGGAGATGTTTTATTTTACTGCTTCCCAAAGTCATTTAACGCGCATTACACCGCCAACACATGCGACCAGCAGTGTCATTAAAGCGTATTATGCTGTCAACATGTGCAAACAGCTGCACCAGTAAAGCGATGCAAAAAGGGGGCATTAAGCCGCTGTAAAGGCCAATTTTGTGGCGTGTACAAATGGCAACAGAAAGCAGACAAGGAGAGCACTGTTGCCCACTTTTGCAGTGGCAGCCAGAAGGCCTCAAGGTCACAGGTCCCTGTTCCTCCTCTATTCCCTAGCTGCCTGGAGGAAACCAGAGGTCCTTCAAACTCATTAGGAAACCTTTAAGTCTGACACTGAGCTAAAAGATGGAGATCATACAGTTTCAAAGAACAGCACTGATGCTAGGGTCCCATCCATTTCTCTGAAGGACACTGCCTGGAGAAAACAGGCCTTTTGTAACGGTGCTTCAGCTATTAAGCATCACAGTGCGAGGGGCTGTGGGTGACTGGATGCACGGGTAAGCAAGGGAGTAGAAGGAAATACTGGTGAGATAAGTTAGATGAAATACAACACCTGCTGCTAGGGACAGATTCTGGAGAAGAGAAGGAAAAGGCAGGAAAAATAAAAAGAAAAGAAAGGAAAAGGAAAAGAAGGAAAAAAAGATGCTGATGCTGTGTCTGTGATGGGAGTGAAGAGAGAACCATGTGGAGTGAACCCCAGAAAAAAAGATTTGCAAAGAGCTGGAGAGATGTAGTAAAGAAATCTCCTTTTCAGAAATGTACAAAGAAAAAGCTGACTGACAATGTTCCTGTTAAATACAACACACAACCATTTAACCCATTTAAATCAATAGAAGAAGATCTCTGCAGGCACGAGTGTTTCCCCTGCGTCGGTCATCTCGTGGCTAGGTGGCTTGTTCCTTTTTCAATGAATTAGCCAAGAGAAAGTGTCTGCAAAGTGTCATCGTTCCCATACCTGTGGTTCAGCCTCTACATTGACCCTGTAAGCTTGTGCTTTTCCATCTTCTAGAATGGTGGGGGACCAGGCCTTGGCTTCAGCTCTGCAACAGAGAATGAAAGAAAATCAGAACGGAGGGTCCATGAGGAATGGGCGTCTCTGGAGGTAAGTGAATGCTGTTCAGAAGCACAGCAGCATTTGTGAGCAACATTCAGCCAAGCACCTTGAGCCATTCTCTGAACTAAAGTCGTGGTCCTTTAAACATTCTCTGGGCCTATTAAAAGACGATAGCATGATGCAATTTCTATGCACAAATGTTATCTTTAGTCCTGCCAAGCAAGAACATTGGAGCAGGCTAATACCACTGCTCAAAGATTTTTTCCATGGGCCTGGATGCTTTTTCCATGGAGGTGTCCCAATGTACAGATGGGATTAGATCACTGACACATTTCTGTTCAGCTCAGTGTACTGGGCACGTAGGACCTGCTTTCTAGTTAGTCTCATATATTAACAAAACCCCTGGTTTTTGCTCTAAAATGCAGGATGGAAGGGGCATTCACCAGGTCTAGTCCGTGTGCTCACAGGCATTTCTGACAACAAGGGGAGCCCCTTCTGGAGTGGAAGCACTGTCATGTCTGGGGTACAGTTTTCAAAAACAGTCAATTCAGAAGCGCAGTGGCACAGCAGTTAAGGTATCTGCCTTATGGCTCTAGAGTGGAGAGTTTAAGCCTTGCTCTGGGTAGTACCAAAGACCACCAATTCATTTTGGGTAGGGAATCAAAGGTGAGGCATGATACTAGCCATATGATACCCTTGGGTGGCTTAAGACAAGCTAGACATGTTACTTTGATTTAACTGAGGAGCCAAAGTTGTTTTTAAACATCTAGCCCCTGGTCATCTCAGGACAACTGAATTGCTGAAAGACATGAACACTATTATTTTCCATTTTATCTCATGATTAAAAACAGGATTTGTGTCTACAAAGATACTTACATGATCCCCATCCCTGTAATGTCCCAGAAGCCTATAGTAGATACTTCTAACATAGTTCATGGCAGTTTAGGGTATTAGTTATAGGAACATTTAACATTAGAACAAGGCCAGATCACTTCACCTTTTGTAAACATGTAGACAAAGCATTTAAAAATACATCCTTATCTGCATGCCACTCTTAAAATGGAAAGTAAATGCATATATGAAATGGCATCCTTTGTATTCAAGTAGCACCTACCCTCCAAGAGTATAACAGTATGCTAAAAACCCAGGACAAGTTGAGACCCTTGAAAGCCACATGGCTAGTTTCTCAGAGCTTTGTACAGCCCTAATCCTGAGGTCATCATACTCTGGTTTAGACGCTGGCATAAATGAAAGCAAACTTGGAGCTGCTCTAGTAACTGCAGCCCTTCCCCACTTGGAGGGGGTGTCACCAGAGTTCAAAGTTGGAATGGGGGCAATGTCCTTGGCCTGCAAAAATTTGCTGAACAAGTGAACTCAGGAGAGGATGGTAAGTTCCAGTCAGTTTTAAACCGGAGGGAACCTCCACCGTCTCCCTCATCTTCTTTGTTGAAAAGAAAGAACCAAGAACTGTATGCACATAACACAGAACTTTCTGTTTAACCTCAAAAGCCATGTGCACATCATTTTTGGAAAATATGAGAAGTTTCCTTATTCCAAATAGGTGTAGCTTATTTGTTGCAGCCAAGAATCCCTTTGCTGGACTCCGGCCTTGATTTGCCACATACCACAGCTGAATTTGGTTTAATTATCTGCAGCGCCTGAGTTTGGAAAACAAGAAATGCAGTTTTAACCCAGAAATCTCTGGCTCAAATGTTTTACCTACATTCTGTATTTTTCCTGACAGTCCACTTAGAAATCATCTGCCTGACCCAAAGCCTATTAAAATCAATGGAAATAATACTACTGACTTTTAACAGGCTAACAATCTTGATGCTTTCATTTTTCTGTGTCACTTCTGCTGTCTATGATAAGCTTATGAATTTGCAACAGAGATAGGCTTGTTATTTTTACAGATCAATATTTTATTCTGATTAACTCTCATGACAACTCCATTCTGGGAAGGAGACCCCACATGCCCCAGAAATATTTTATTGCTTGTTTCTTTTTTCACAGAAAAATGAATCTCCCAGGAGTCCTAACATTCTCACCACTCCAAGCTGGATTCAAGCTTAAATTGACTGCTATACATTTGGGAATTTCAGATGAAATTTCAGGGAATTTGAGGCATCAGAATGATGAAAACTTCTAATGGCTTTGGCGGGGGGTTTCCATTGCATTGAATTGGTTTGATGTCACGCTGTAGCTGAGAATCAGACAGTTATGACATCCTTGTTCTGATCTGCTTTGACAACTGAATGCCAAATGCAGATTTAAAAGAATCCCTGAAGACTTCAATTTGCCAGCCAACAAAAGAGGAAGGATTCATAAAGGAGCTCCAGCTTCAAAAGATAAAGTGATAAAAATAATAAATTCTGTCTGCCTCACGTTACCTAAGGAATACAGCCATTGCTGTTTGCCCACACTTCGGAGTGCAATCACTCAGGTCTCCATAAAGAGCTCATGTTGCCTGTACCAGGAAAACAGGGATTACATTTTCCAAAACTATTCAATATTTCTTTATAGATGCATCCTGAAAGATATGGTTGGAATGTAGTCCCTGGGCTCCAACTTGGAATCTGACCTAGAGAGAGAGCTTTTTGGAAAAAAATAAAATCAAAAAACTTCTCCTCCACATTTCTGCCTCTCAATAAAAAACGGTTTAAGTAGGAACAGGACTGGACTCAAGGGTTTTTCTATTGCCACCAAGGCACTGTCTAAAAGGGTCCATACAGAGACAAGATCTCATTTCAGATGCACTGTTTTCGGTTGAACTGCTCTGCACTGACACTAGCATGGCAGAAATCAGGACTCAGCCTCAGGATGCCTGCAAGGGAGCACTGCAGAGTAGAGACGATTGATCTGGATTGTTTCTCATTTGGAAGAGTGGGATTTCCTGCCCAGGACCCCCACAGAAGTGTGCCATGCCAGGATATTTAGTTTTTCCTTGGCAGCTGAACTGTGCCTTACTGGACTTTGTGCGCATAGTGAATGGAGCCTTCTTCCCATTTGCACAGTCTGTGGATGGGACAAGACTAGATAGTGCAAGAGCAGCTTGATCTGTGCCTACAGAGAACCCCGGAGAGAGGAGATAGATGTCCTTGGAGTGAAACCAGGAAAGCAGAAAGACGTGAGCTGCGCTGAGCAGTGCCCAAGGAGGAAGCGCTGGGTCAGTGCAGCTCCACACCACCCTGAAAGCAGGGCCATGCCCTAGGGCACAATTGAGCCCTGGGAATCTATGTAATGAAAATCAGACCTTGCTCATGTAGTAGGTGACAGATGAGCCCTCGTGCTTGACTGTTTCTAATAAGTAGTTAAATTTATAGCTCAAGGACAAGCAAAGTGTTCTCAGATGTGTTGTATTATGTTGTAAGGAATTAGAGTCAGCGATGTGGAAATCATTACCTTATATCAACAAAGCTCCGCCGCAATTTTGTGTCTGCTGTGACGATACCAAGAAAATAACTAGCAATCCTTTACCGCCGTTCGTTTACCCAGTGGTTGTGAGAACCAACCCATTACGGAGACATAATTAAAAAGCTAACAGAAACCACAGACACCTCGTATCCTGCCTTAGGTTCTTTTTTTCCAGGAGATTCTTAATGTCATTTTAGAAAAATTGCTTGCACGTGGAGGCATATTTTATTGAAAGGTTTTTCATCTGGTAATAATCTGAAAGTCTTGTTCTCTTCATTCATAGAATTGCTCTAAAAAAAAAAAAAAAATCATAGGAATTCCTGGATCTTATTGTGTTTCTGATTCTGCCACCCCCTTATCAACTATAATTTAGCATTTGGAAGGATAACTGACAGCCTTGGACACCACAGTCCCACCTAGCAACCCAAGAGGTGTGACCACACACCACAGCTGCTAAAACTTCCAACATAGCCATGTCTTTGCTAATGGCTAACCCATGACTGATCCATCACCTCTGGAGATGAGAGAATAGTTCAGTATTGAAGACCATGTATTTGTAATGAGTCTACAAATAGAGTTGGAACGGAGATGGTAGGTTTTATTCTGTGATGCAGCCTGTTAGAAGCTAGGCTGAAACCTCTGGTGGCTACGAAGTAGTGTTCATAACTCCATGGGATAATTTCCTCTTGGAATCTGTTTAAGACTAGCACTTATCCAGCAACGGAGTTAAAACATCACACCGCCAGACTGACATGGAGGGGAACTGGAACAAATGGGAACAGGAGCCAGTGTAATGAACATTCGCCATGAATCCTAATGAGTAGAAATTGGATTGGTTAAATTTAAATGCTTCACTTCAACAAAGCACTTAAGCAGATGCTCAAAGTTGAACATGTGCTTAAGCTCAGCCTCGTTTCTTAACAGCATGCGGGCGGGTGTTTCAAGTTAAGCATCACTTAAGCACTTCACTGAACTGGGGCTGTAATCTGCCTCCTCCATGGCACGTTCTGAGCAGCTGATCCAGCTGTGGGGATCCAGCTGTGGTGCTTCCTCCTTCCTTCTGGTTAGCCTAGTCCCCTGCCTTCTGGGCTCTGTGCAGTTATTGTTTGCTTGATTAATCCAGAAGGAGTCCAGAGGGAAAGCTGTGATTCACTTTTCCAGTTGTGCGTTTACTGGAAACTTGGGACCATCATATATTGTAATATTTCCCATATCCCAGCAATATTGCTGCAAACGTACATATGAGCTTCCTGTCAAGGAAGTCTCATTAAGCTTAATAGTATTGACATGGCAACCTGCAAAAGGACACTGACAATGTTAAGGTCTGGAGTGTTTTAAGGATAAATTTTCAGGAGGGCCATTTTCCTCTTATAAACACACAGTGCCTATTCTTTTGGGGTAAAATTCATCCCCGTGCAGAGACCCAGCACAAGGCCTGTGTACCTCAAACTCCCCAAACAGTTTTCCGTGGAACACTAATGGTGCATAGGCCTTGTACAGGCCCACAGCATAAGAGTGAACGCCTGTCTTTGTAAGGCTGAGAAAGGCAAGTATGGTTGGACTTTTGGCACA